GTGGGTGTGGGTGTGGGTATGGGTGTGGGTGTGGGTGTGGGTGTGGGTGTGGGTGTGGGTGTGGGTGTGGGTGTGGGTGTGGGTGTGGGTGTGGGTGTCAGTGGGCTGTCGGTGTCGGTGGATGTGGTTGGATGTTGGTTGAAGGGAGCATGGGTGGGTGGATTCAGATTACCTTTTCAGCGACACACAGATCCCACACCCACACCCACAGCCACACTCCCTCTCTTTATACATTGAAAAAGCATGGAAGGCGTCTCTTAACGCATAGTGTGAGAGAGCTTTTGAAACCATTCATCGTCGAAAGAGAAAAAATCATGTTTTATTGTTGTGGCACTGTCAAGAATAAACCAGGAGAAATTTTTCTAAAAGAGGTGACATGTAGAAAGGCTTATTAAAGAACAGCTTTTTTCTGTTTTATTGCGCACACCGAGAAATCGAACTTTGAAGTAGCTCTCTTCTTTCTTTCTGCATCAAGTGAATTAATTTCAAAACCAAACGCAATGGGAGGAGATGAGTAATTTGTCTTGTAGATGTGCAAGATTTAAAGTTCATATATGTCTCTAAAATTCAGGGGAAACAAAATACGTTGAAAGTCCAGGAGTGTTGGCGAGATTGGAGAAATCAGAAAAAATGAATGCTGAACTTGTGGAGCAATTCAAAGCATCACAAAACACAAATGCTATACTTGCGCAGCAATTCCAAGCAGCACAACAGTCAAATGCTGTACTTGTGCAACAATTCAGAGAGCTCGCTCAAAAGATGGAAGAGCAGCAGATCAATTCTTTTGAGGATTTGGAAAGAGTAGATAGGAAAAATGCTGACTTTTTCATTCAACTGGCAAAACAAGTAGCTCCATTTACGATGGATGGTATTAATGTTGCAATTTTTGGCATTACGTCAACGGGCAAATCCACAATAATCAATAAATTATTGGGCAAAGATCTAGCGGCTGTCGGTAGTGGTGAAACAACAAAAGATATTAAACCTTATGCTGGTGTTGGGTATCGACTATTTGATATACCCGGCAGAAATGATGATATCCAATACTTTACTGCCGATTATATCAGTTTTTGGAAAGGTTTGACCTATCGTCTGGTCGCTATCATGCATACAATAAAAGAGATGACAAAAGTTTTCAAATTATTAGATGCGATCACTCTGAACTATGATATTGTCGTCAATAAATTCGACCAAGTACCACCTGAAGAAGCCGATGCCTTTAAACAACAAATTCGCCAAGAAATAAAAGATGCCGGATTGCAAGGTGTTAATCGAATATTTTTCGTTAGTGCGCGAAATCCTCGACAATTTCCGGACTGGTTGGAAATGTGTGACTATATTACGCAAACGAGGAGTGCTCAGCGTTCTGAGAAGAATGTTTTTTCCGCCCTAAATATGGGGATGCTGAATCCACAAACACAGAAATAGAACGTTCCAGTGTATAGCCGTCGTTCCTGTATTATCTTCTTACAGAAGAACTTGAAAGAATCCGCCAACAATAAAATAAAGCAAACATCATACCTGTCTTAGAGCAGTTAGAAAGGCTATGGGTGCGGGTGTGGGTGTTGGTGTGGGGTGTGCGTGTGGGTGTGGGTGTGAGGGTGTGGGTGTGTCGGTGGTGTGAGTGTGGGTGTGGGTGTGGGTGTGGGTGTGGCTGGGTGTGGCTGGGTGTGGGTGTAGGTGGGGTGTGGGTATGGGTGTGGGTGTTTGGGTGTGGGTGTGGGTGTTAGTGGGCTGTCGGTGTCGGTGGATGTGGTTGGATGTTGGTTGATGGGAGCATGGGTGGGTGGATTCAGATTACCTTTTCATCGACACACAGATCCCACACCCACACCCACACCCACACCCCACACCCATACCCCACACCCATCCCACAGCCACACCCCACAGCCACACCTACATCCCACCCCCACACCCGCACACGCACACTCGCACACCCACACCCACACCCCACCACCACCCCCACCCCTACCCCCACACCCACACCCACCCACACCCACACCCACCCACAC